GACTAGGTGATAGCCTTGTCTAGGAACCGAGAAGCCCCCACTTCTATAAGTAGGGGTAGTTCACTAATTGGTTTTCTGGGAATAGTGATAACGGGAGTTCTAATTTGACGAAAAAAGCGACAGCAAAAAAAGTTGCGGCGGCACAATTAGACTATAGTTGCGTGCGGGTATCGGAAGCAAATCTAAATAAAGTGACTTTTGTCGGTCAAAATTAGGTTAATTTAATTAATGGAAAGTGATACTGCTAACGCAAAAAATTTTTTTGTTCTGAAATTATTCAACAGTCGCAAAAAAAAGAGTACTGAATTAATTCTCCAGCCCGGTCAAACTCTCAACATATACCTGTGCGGTCCAACCGTTTACGATCACATTCATATTGGCAATTTGCGCCCAGCCATCATTTTTGACACTCTTCACCGCCTTTTGCTACACTTAAATATTAGGGTTAATTATATTCAAAATATTACCGACATTGACGACAAAATAATCATCAAGGCCCAAAAAGAGAAAAAAACCGAGTCTGAAATCAGCCGGCATTATGCAAAATCCTACTGAACTAATTTAATTCGTTATAACATTTTATTTGCTACACGCTGGCCGCGAGTAAGTAATTATATCTCCCAAATCCAAGATTTTATTGGTTTATTAATCAAAAATGGTGCGGCCTACCAGCGGGCTGGTGAAGTATTTTTTCGTGTAGAGAAAAATCCCGAGTATGGCAAACTCTCCGGCCAAGATCTCACTAAATTAAAGGAAGGAACGCGTGAAATTACTTCAGCAAATAAGGAAAGCAATCATGATTTCGTACTCTGAAAAAAGACCACAGCCGGAAAAAATTGACCCTCGCCCTGGGGAGCCGGAAGACCTGGTTGACATACCGAATGTGCCGTTTTTATTAATGAACTGTTGCATGGTCAAACGCTTGACATTCATGGTGGTGGTAATGATTTATTATTTCCCCATCACGAAAATGAAAGGATTCAGTATTTGGCTGCCAATGACCGCGAGTTAAGCCAAATTTGACTCCATATCGCTCATATCAATTGAGGTCAAGAAAAAATGTCAAAATCGTTGGGTAATGTTATTTCGGCTAAACAATTTTGCCAAAAATATGGGGCTAATGTTTTGAGATATTTAATTTTAAATGCTCAATATAATCAAGTAATTAATTTAAGCGAGGAATTAATTCGACAAGCCGTAGATTACATACAAAAAATTAAAAATCTTCTCAAAAAGTTGAGGTTTTTTTTGTACATGAATAAGACAAAAATTGTCGTCCAGAATACCACACCCTTACAGCAAGAAATAGTTGCTAATTTACTGAATAATCTCAATACAGTTAAGGTTCTTTTTTTTCTCGAACAAATAATCAATTTTCTTAATAGATTTATCGACCGGAGAGAGAATGACAAGGAAAACTTTTCTGAGACAATTAATAATTTTTACTTCATTCTCGACTTATTAGGGTTTAAATTT